TGGGTAGTAGGGCTTTGCTTCCACTGCTTAGTACCTGATATAAGGTTGAGAAATATCAATTGAACGTAGAAATGAATGAGGGTTCGGATGGAGATTATAGGGGAAAGCATATCCCTCTCCCACCTTCTCCATTTCCTCCCCATGGCATCACCACTGACTGTAAGCTTCATGAGGCCAAAAATAATGTCCGTCCCTTTCTTTTTCCTCTTTTTTTTTTTTTTTTGAGATGGTCTGGCTCTGTTCCCCTCGCTAGAGTGCAGTGGCATCATCATAGCTCACTGCAACCTCAAACTCCTGGGCTCAAATGATCCTCCTGCCTCAGCCTCCCGAGTAGCTGGGTCTGTCCCTTTTGTTTATCACTGTAACTCTAACACCTGGCACTGTGCCTGACACACAGGAAGTACAGAACAATTTTTTGTGGAATTAATAAATAAAATGGAGCCTTGGACTTATCTGGAAAAGAGGGGTGATAAGATCAGGACACAGCTTTTTAAAGCAACATCGCATATAAAAACATGCTGCTGCACACAGTAAATGCTCCATAAATGTCTGTCATTGAATTGGAATTCCTGCCTCTCCTCACTCCCACGAACGCACCCTGGCAAGGCCAGGAGCTTAATAAAAGAGCAAGGTCCAGAGCTGGCCTCACTTGGCCATGATCAGATGGGGTAAAGCCATTTATATTGGGGTTGGGGTGAAAAGACTCATTAGCATGGGTGGGAATGCAAGGCTGTTCGGATTTGCCTCTAGCAGAAAACTTATACCCGGAGAAGACAGTGAGTAGCTTTGGAATGAACAGTCAGATGAGGTAGGAAAACAAATCCAACACAGGCCTACCAGCTGCCCTATCCAAAAGAATGAATGTGGTGTCTTCAACCTGCCAAGGAGCAAATGTTTGGCACACCCCACCATCTTTCATTCTGTTCCCCCACCCACCTCCCCAATCACTGACCCCAGGGCTGCTGGAGAGGTTTAAAATACAGATCAGAATGTGTCACACCCTGCTTAAAACCCTCAGTGGGATGATATCGGGACTTCTCACCAGGCTCACTTCGACCCTGCTCATACAGCTGTGGCCACAGCGGCCTTCCTCCAGTGCCTCCAACGCGCCGGCTTCCCCAGCCAGGGCCTCCACCCCTGCTCCCTCTGCCTGCGACGCCTCTCGCAGCTTCCCTCCAGTCTCCAAGCACAGCTATTAACACGAGCCCCATCGCAGAGAGATGCTCCCTGACGCCCAAATCGAAACCAGGCCCGGCTCCCGCCACACACCCTCGGAGCATGCTGACTCCCCTCCCGGCACTGACCGCAGCCGCACACTGCACCGTCTGTGTCCTCCAGAGGCCGTGAGGTTCACAAGGGCAGGGAGGGCTATCTGTCCCTCACCACTGAGTTCTCAGAGTCGGCGCAGGCCCCAGCACAGAAATGACGAATGGATGAAAGAGCGAATTTCTCACAGTTGCTGCCACAAACCACTCCTCAGGTCAGGTTCCAAGCAGAACCAGAAGATGGCCTCCAGACACTCCCAACCACACAGTACTTGGCTTTCTTTAGAAGCCTCTTCCCAGCTCACCATGGGCTGGGGTCGCCTCACCTGCCTCCTTCAGGAAAGCGAAAAGACTATCAAGGAGATCAGGAAATTTGACCCCCAAATATGGCCCTCTTGGTAGAAAGAATATTTTGAATTAAAGACCCTTAGAAATCAACAGGCATTGGAATGGGCTTTCCCTCTTCCTTCATTAAAAAAACAAAAAACAAAAAAAACCCCAGACCCATCGAAAAGAACAATCGACTTCCTAGCTCCTCCTCCCCATTATCTTAATATATTGCAGGAAAGAAGATGAAGAATGCAAGCAGACCTGGCCCAAATCATTTTAAATATAATACCTGTCTCAGGTTAATTTAATTTCCAAAGAGAATCATTTACAAGTCAATCTGTTTCCCCTCATGCATTCATTCTCTCAAGTATCTATTCATCCTCCCTAATGACCATTTATTGCCTCTAAACAGAATTACCTGTATTCCTCATCTCTCCCTCCCCTCTAAAATGAGGGTATATAAATTTCTGGACCCGACTGGGACACTGGGAAATCACTCTGTGATTCTCTCCCTGCACAAAGTAAGTAAATCTCTTTCTCTTTTAATCTGCCTTATTGTGAGTTGATCTTTCAGCAAACCTTCTGGGGCAAAAAGGTAAGTTTTCCCTCACCCTTGAAACCATGAAAAGCAGCCCTATTTGTCCCTTGGCCAATGTTTCTAATAAGAAAAACAAGACGTCGATCCCCGTCCTCCTTTTCTGCCATATTAAAAAGTATTTATTCCCATCCTTCTAATTGTTTGGGCAAGGATCGTGGGTGAGCACTAGCTGGAAAATTACTGCTTCAATTTTTGTTGTTTAAAGTGCTTAAATGACATGCAAGAAAATGGTTTTTAGGTCTGTGATGCTGAGCAGACTTGGTAGCAAAGTAGAAAAAACTGGGTTGCAAAGACCTAGAAAATCAGCACTACAATTTTCTAGCTCTTCCATTTACCAGGTGCAAGACCCTTGGCCTCAATTTCTACATCTGACAAATGGAGACAGTGATATTGAACTTCAATATCCTTAAAGGGAAGTCTTGAGCAGTTTTAAAATCCCGCCATTGTCCTGGTGAAGAGTTTTTCTTTTGGCTTTAGGGGAAGGTCTTGTCCCTAAACGGAAGGCTGAGGTCCCCTAGAGGAGGTCGGCTCTGCTCCCAGGAGCTGGGGCTAGTAATCACAGGGAGGTGAGTCTGAATGGTGAGAAGGCATTTTAGACTAGGACTCCGTGACCTTGGGTTCTGGTCTGAGCTGCCTGTCTCAAGAACCCCAGCCCCAGCTCAAGGCCAGGCCTCAGCCCTGGGCTGGAAGTCTCTCATTGGTTCCTCTGACAACAGCCAAGTGCAGTCCTATAGTGGCGTAGGAAGAAAAAGACTGCCTTGCAATCTTCCCGTGAGGCCAGTACAGTGGAAAGACACAGTTTACAAGCAGTGCAGGCCCAAGCCGAGGCCCTGCTCTAATCCCCGCATCCAAGCCACCCCCATCTCGGACTCCCCCGAGGCTATAGCCTTCTCTGTCCTTGGGCGGAGCTGGACCTGCGGCGGGGTCACCCCGCCTTCCCCGAGTCAGGCCTAATGGCACTGGCTTTTCCTTTCATAGGCTTGGGCTGATGTCCCCCCCACCCCCCATCATTAACAGCAAAGAAAGGAACCCCAGCCATTTCCATTTCCTCTGCGGCTCAAAAGCCTGTTGTTATTTAATCCTGCGCCCACCCCGGCAGCTTCCTCAGCGCGGCCGGCTCCACCCATCCACCTGGCCAGTTCTCGGCCGCTCCCGCTTCCCCAGAGCGGGGCTGGCGCGGGCTGGGGAGTTGTGGGAAGGCCCCTACAGCAGCAAAGGCTGTGGGCCTTCGGCAGACCGGGGTTCCTCAGGCCTGCGCCCTGTGGGGCTGGGATACGGACTGGGGTAGAGTCCTGGCGGCCGAGAGCGGGCGGACCCCGGGCACTGCGGACGTTACACTGGGGTGGGGGGAGGGGGGCGCTGGGAGGCGAAGGCCAGGCCTCCTCTGGCTGCGTCGCCAGGATCGCCCCGGGGAGCACTGGAGCCGGAATAGGCCTCGGCCCTGTCACTACACCCAAGAAGCGGGGGGAGGGGTGGTCTTGCACTGAGGAGACTCATCCTCAGGAAAGGAACCATATTCACGCAGCAACCCCTACTCAGCCCTTCTCTGACGATGGACATTTTCTTAATTTTTGGTAAACGCAGCTTCAAAATTCCTGCCTCCGACGGCCCTGGGCATCGCTGGTCTAGAGATACAGAAAGCACCCAGCAGGGGTCCTCCCGCCCCCCCCATCCCCCACTTTGCCTGCGGGGACTGCCCAGATCTAGGTACAACCTCCCCCATCCGGCTCTCAGTTCGGGATTTGGAGACCGAAGCGCCCCCCACCCCCCAGCGACACTGACAGTTCCTGCCCAGGCCCGCAGTGGCTTGAAGGTGGCCTTTACCTCCTCTTGCAGGCTGGGAGGGAGTACAGCCCGCGCAGCTGGGCCAGCTGCAGCAATCGCCACCGCCCTCCATTCATTAAAAAAAAAAAAAAAAAAAAGGCAACAACAACCTCCACTCAAACCTCCACCCCTCTTTGTAAAAGAACGCCGTCCCCTAGAGGAACAAGAGCCAGCCCCAGCAATCACGGGTTAAGTTCTTTTCCGGCCCCCCATTCATAAAAAAAGGAGCGCAGCGCATGCGCACTTGGGGGTCTCTTGTGCCCACCCATTCATAGAATCGCGGGCGGCGCGCGTGCGCACTGGAGCGCCCTTCCCTCCCATTCATAAAAAAGCCATTTTCCCAGGCAGTGGTTGCAACATCGCCGCCGAGGCAGCGAGCGAAGCTGACAGCGCGGAGCTGGCGCTGTGGAGCGCAGGGAGCCTCGCCGGTTCCTCCGGCCGGCGTCTGCGAGTACAGCAGCAGCTGACCTGCTTGGGTTCCGGGATTTACACAGACGTGGAGCGATGCTTGTGACTCTGCAGCTCCTCAAAGTAAGTCCATGGCCGGTTTGGGGATCCGAAACTGCCCCTCTCTGAGCCGCCAGCGACTCCCCCTCGGGCTGGGGTAAATGGTACGCTATTTCTAGGCGCGCCTCAGTGTTCCTTCCCTCTGCCTGCGCCTCCTTGAGTCGCTGCGGTGCGCCGCAGCTCCCTGCCGCCCTTGGCCCGGCCGGCACGGCGCCGGGGGTGTTCACAGCCTGGCACCGCCGTTTCCGACCCCTGGGCATTGCCAAGCCCGGCTTCCCCGCCCTCTGCGACTTGGGAAGCCCTGTGCGTGTCCCGGGAGTTTGCCTCTGGCCTGGCCTCTTTCCTCCTGCTAGCACCCGCCTCGAGCGCTGGAACGGGTGGCTCTGGGCTTGGTCAGGAGCTTAGGTCGGGGGGCGCCCTCACCCTGGTCGGCTCGTCCACCCCCCCCCCCCGGCTCCGTGCCCACGGTGCCAGCTCTGCCATATACCTCCCCAGCCCGCCGCAGCGGCCTATGCTCGACGTAGGTTTTTCTTTCTCCTTTGGAGCGGTGACGGACTGCGTTTCCTCCCCTTTTGCCTCTCTCCCTCGATGGTCAGAGCAGGGCCAGCCGAGGACTGGGTATTTCTGCCCCCTCTCCTTGGCAAGGTGGTTCCTAGCCGTCTGACCTTTGCTCTGCTGCTGCATTTTATGCTGTGCAACTGCCTTGCAGTTGCCTCTTCCTTCCCCGGCCTCTGCAGGGCCGAGGATCCTTGGCCACCCTGTGCCTCCCTGTCCCCCGGTAGCTAGGTGTGCCAGGCCCCGGGGCCCCCGGGCCGCGCTAGGGCTGTGGTAGGGGCTGAAGGTGCGTTTACATAACGCCAGGCGTGTGGGAGCCGGAGGAAGAGGTTGCAAGCTTAGGAGAGAGAAGGCTCCCACTTTCCCTCCTTCCTTCTTGGTGGTACCAGGCTTTGACATCACCGGGAAGAGAGGATACAGACGGTACGTTCTGAAATACTGTGAATCGCCAAAGCTCCGGGGGCAGTGAGCAGGGTGAGGGCGGGTTGGGCCAGCCAGGGCAGCTGGAGCTTGGTTCCATCACTGGGGCCAGGGCCGTGCCCAATTCCCCCTCCATGCAGACGATCAGAAAGCATTTAGACAGTAGCTACTCTTGTGCAAGAAGACGGTTTCTCAATTCTCTTTGATTGGGGGCTGGGGGTTGTGGGCAGAAGAGGCAAGACAGATGGAAAAATGGTTGCATGGCTTGAAGGGCTGAGGCATGGACTAGAGAGGCGAAATGGGCCAGAGGCGCTGGATGGTAGGCAAAGGGGAGTGCTGCTGGCTGCCTGTTTCCCCAGCTGCTGGGTGGGCATCCATGTTGCCAGGCCTGGGTGCAGGCAGGAGGCTGCTTTCTGGCGCAGCAAGGCTCCTGGGAGCCCCCCTCCCACCCCCAGGGTGGTTAGTGCTGGACATAAGGTGTATGTTCAGTAGGGCACCCAAACCTAGTGGCTTCTCCCTCTTTCCTGCCGCCAGATCAGTGGCGTGATTCTCTCCAGTTTGGGGAGAGGCCAGACACCCTAGAGGCCAGAGAACCTGCGGAGGGGCCACAGCAGGCGCAGGTCTGGTTAGCTGACCAAGGCTCTCAGGGATTCAAAGCTGGAAGGTGAAAGGCCCAGAGCAGTTGGGAAATGTGGGTTTATCAATCTCCTAATAAGCTCGGTTTGGCCTAAGGCCCTATCCAGTATTGCACTGGTGGATTTCACAATGTTTAGAGTTCTCCGGATCTTCACACAAATGGAGCATAAACATCTGAAATTTCTAGCTTTTTTCCTTAGTGCGTGTGTGGGGCTAGGAAAGGGAGGGCTGTAGCTGGGGTCTCTCTCTCTCTCTCAGGAAATTGTAGAGATGTCCAGTGCAGTTGCATTTCCCTCTCTTCCCATCCCTTGGGAGGGTCCTCATGTGCAGCAAGCTCTAGACTAACCCTAACTGAACAGTGCATACACTGAACAGCTGAGCTGCGTGGCTGGCACTGGCGGGGGTGGGGGTGGTAGAGGGGAGGCATTTTGGTAGCAGATTTCTGAGATCTCAATGCACAGATATTGGTCAGCTACCATGACAGACACTTTAAAGATGTCTGTTGGTTATCTTCCGCTTTAGATTCTGAACTCAGGAGTCATTCCATTTTCATGGGGTATAAATGCTTACCTGCCCTTAGCCCTCCTACCCAGCCCTATGACCTTTTCCAGATTACCCTTTGAAATGGCAGCCTCTCACCGAATAAAGCTTTGGTTGGAGCTGGTGGTAGAGACAGAACACAGAATAGAACAGGGCAGAGGCTGGGGGCTAGTGGGCCTTTGGAACTCACAGATGTCATTTTTATCTGCATCCTTCCAGAATCGCTGGAGAGATGTGGCTCTTTGGAAATCTGCCTTCTGCCCAGTTCATACCTCTGAGCCTCTACTTTGGTAAACCTGACATTGCATATGCCCAGAAATTTTGCTGACTTTCTTGAATAACAAATGGTGGTAGTCTTGTAGTGCAAAATTTTAAAGTAAGAGATTTAAATAAAAGTAAGGGAGAAAAAAACCCATTAACACCTCCCAAAGTAGGCTTTGAGGTATGTTGCTGTGGGTTCAATATTTTGGGATTACAAGTGGGGATTCCATTTTTTCAATGCTAACGGTCCCTTGGTATGATATTTTAAGCCCACAGATTTGGGGCCCCCAATCATTTTTCTCAACTCTGGCCAATCCTGTTAGGTAGGGCCTGGGTATTGGTACCAAGAAGGCCTAGGAAGGAGCATTCCTCTTTATTCAGAGAAGTTCATTATTTCTTTTAGAATTATAGTGTTTCATTTGGTTTTAAATTCAGAGTGTCTGTCATCTGGTCCCTACTGAGTTGGAAGTTCCCTTGTGATAACAACCTAGATAAGGGTTCTTGCCCAAACCTTCTGGATTTGGGGATAATGTTGAAAATTTGGGGGTTCAGATGTAGATATGGCAGAGTTTTAAAGGAAGGGAAATGGCAAGAGTGGAGAAGGTTCTATATCATGGCCAATCTGAATCTGCCTGCCAGAGGGGAAAACAGTGACTCATTAGAATATGTTTGCTCTTTCAGAAGAGTCAGAGGAAGAAAGTGATGAAGAACAACATATGGAAGCTATATTGCTCCTTCCAGACTGAGCCAGGGGCCAGGGCAGAGCAGTTGAGTGGCTAGGCAAACCTGCAAAGTGCGGCTTTAGTTTACCCATCTGCAGAACAGAGAGAACAAACTCCTCCCAAGGGGCCAGGGGGGCCAGGAGGGCTGCTAGTGAGTGACCAGGATGAGGGCCACAGTCATGGTTACTACTGAGCTTCTAGGAGGAGGGCATGATTTCAAGGGTGCCCCTTCCTACACAGGAGGTATGGACTGTTACATGATGTTAGGAAGTGGGGTATTCTTGGCTCTCGGGTCTGGGGCCACCCTGCAGATCCGGACATCTGACAAGACCTGGGGAATGTATCCAGGCCGTGTGGCTAGGCTTAAGAGGCTCCACAGTTCAGCTGTGATCACGATTGTTCTTTCCAAGGACAGACCCCAGTCAGTGAAGGAAGCAAGGGCACTGGGGACCGAGCACAGATGTGCTGGATCCAACAGAGGGAAGGGGCCCTTCAGGCAGGTGGCTACTTGCAGAAGTATAGTTTCCCTTGTGGGTAGTCTTTCTTTTTCTGGTGGGGGAAGGGGAAGTCATTTCCTGCCCCTGTTCCAGGAGTAAGCTAAAATCTATTACTGGAAGTTCATTTCTTGGTGGAAGGTAGCGAGACAAATAATATGATTTCGGCGTCTATGGGAGAAAGCCCCTCCCCTGGGGGTCTGGAGTTACCTAGACTTTGACTTGGGCCAGTAGTTTCCAAACTGTGCCAGTGGTAGCAGGCTCCTTCTAGCTCCCATCGTGTCTGACTCTTGGCTTCTAATCCCCTCTTTACTGGGATCTAAGCGTACAACAATTAAGGGGGAGAGGGTAATACAATGAAGGCAGAAATTTGAAGCTGATTAAAATAGCCCAAAGGCAAAGTGCAGCAAGACACCCACCCATCCCTGTGTTGGGGCTTTGAGGCTCAGCTAGTTGGTTGGGGAAGAGGGTTGGGAACTGATAACTGGTGATGGGACAAAGTGATGAAAAGCAACTGTTTTCTTTTGTGATCTCTGACAGATCTTGGCCCGAGGTGAGCTCCTTAGTGCTGGGGCTGGTGGAGGAGGAAGGATTCCCAGACAAATCCAGCTGCCTAAATGCCTTATTCTCCCACTGGGGCCTTTCTCAGCAGAGATTGTCTTCCTCCATGGGGTGTGGGGAGGGGCAAGTCCCTGGCTTCCCTCACAACCACCGCACCTTTAAAAATTCCTTTTAAAGCAGTAAGTCATCACTTGGTTGTAGCTTAATTATCTAAACTGGGGTGTTGTCACAAAGAACCAAGCAATAGCTGTGGGAGGGCTCTTTGGCAGCTAAGGGACCTTTATCCTGAGATGTTAAAGGGTTAAACAACCTTCACTGAAGGATCCCGCTGAGCCTGAATGGGGCAGAGCAGAAACTGCCCATTCATTCAGAGCCTCTCACAAGTGTGTCATTAGCTGACCTGTAGTTTTCAAAGTACAACTGTCAGCTTTTCCCAGCTCCCCTCCCTAGGGTAAGTCAAGGGGAGGGTGTGGATGGGTGGGAACAGATATCTCCCTCAATTGTGCGGACATTTAACCTGCCTCTTGACCCTTTTCGGCCTGTACTGAGCTGTCTGCAGCCAGTGCTCAGCCCCCTCCCCACCGGTGCAAACGCACTGAGTGTCAGACTGGCTGGCTCTGGGATCCCAGACCCGCCAAGCAGCAAATACAGGGCTGAGTGCTCTGGGGTTTTTAATATCCTGCCAATTTAGTATTCTAGGATGCTGTTCTTCTTGCCCCAGCTCCTTCCTTCCTCAGACCTGGGCCAGGAAGCCCCATCAATGAAGGTGCCCTGGGGACCCTTAAGTTCAACTTGACAGGTGGGGAGGAGAGGGGATTCTTTGGAGGGACTGCCTGGTAATGAACTACAAGTGAGACCCATTTAACTTTAAGAAAACTAAAAATGGAAACACTTAGTAAAGGAAAGTGAGGTGACAGAAGGGATGGCAAAGAGCACTGAATTGGGAGTGAAGGTCACTAGAGCTGAGCCTTCTCTGAGTGACAGAGGTTGCAGTGTCCCACTACCCCAACCATCACTGTCCACACTGGAAATTCCCCTCACCCAGCTCCTGTGTGCTGTGAGCCCTGTCTGGCTTTGCTTCCCTGCTGGGGGCTTGCTGAAGAGTTCATGGTTGTAAAACTGATTGGAGCTTTCCTGCTTCTTCATGAACACCAGAAGCTATCAAGGGCTTCTGCAAGTCACTATAAGTCATAGGTCTGTATGGGTGAGGTTCCAGCCTCTGGAGCACCTGCTGTCTGGGTTCAAATCCTGCCCTGATATTTGCGAGCTCTATGACCCTTCATGCTGCCATTTCTTCCTCTGCAGAATGGGCACTATCTCCAGGTGTAGTGAGGATTACAAGAGAAAATAAATCAATGAGGACTTAGGACAGAGCCTGGCACCAAGAAATGTTTCTTAAATATTAGCTGCTTCCATAATTATTACTTATTATTATTAGAAGGTTGAGTGGAGTTAAAAGTTCCTTCCCTCATGCTAATCCATAAAAGAGTGCCACCTAAAATTTGATAGAGGTGCTTCTTTGGCTAAGTGGAATGCTGGCTTTGTTTCTCTGTCCAGAGTCTTCCAAATTGGCCATCAGTCTCTTCCAAACTGCTTAAATGAGGCAAAGCCTCCTCTCTCCAATTTATATTATAAATCTCTTCCTTCCTTGCAGGGGAAGCAGAGAGTACATATTAAACTGCACTTAAGATTGTCAGCGTTGCTCAGACTGGAAGGTGGGTGTGTCCCAGTGAGTAGAGATTGATCAGTCTAAACCAACTGAGAGTTTTCTTTCTTTTTTTTTGAGACATCATTTAGCTGTGCTGAGGGGTTATCAAACAGGCAGCTCAGGAAGTTGTTCTCCTTTGTCAGCCAAATAAATTCATCGGAGGCTCTTAGAGGGCCCTCCTGTGGAGGGTTCTTGTTAATGGGAAGGTGGGGCTAGTGGGACTGGGGCCAGCCATTGGTTTTCGCTGAGACCTGCATCAGGGCTCCGCTCAGATCGGGAAGATACATCTTAGGTTGTGCCTGCTGGAGCCATCGGATGCTGCACCTCCCAAGAGAGCCAAGTCATCGTGGGCCAAGCTCCCACCCCCACGTCTGGCCTCAACTGCAGGTTCAGATGTTGACAGCTGCCTCTGGGGGTGATGGGAGCCTGCTCACGCCAACAACATCCCATTGTCTGCAGCGGCTGCTCCCACCCTGGCTTCCTGGTGGGACTTTTCCATGGATTGAGGAATCTGCTTTGTGATTCCAGGGTCTATTACAATCCCTGAGCCATGGCCCATTCTTTTTGCTTCAGCTGTAGGAAATGTGGCTGTTTTTAAAGAACCCCAGTCCCCAGTAAATGAGCTGGGGAAAGGAGAGTGGATAATCTGCTTCAGGGAGAGGAGTACTTTTACTTTCTCCAACTACATGGGGCAATGTGAGTCTCAAACTGCCACTGACATTTTGGTGGCAGGACCTCAAGTATTCCTGACCTGGGTTTCTGGAATAAGGGAATCATGTTGTTTTTCTCCAAGGGGTGAGGGTTCTGGATCTGTGGCATTTTCTAGTCTTACTCTGAGTCACTTTTTCTCCAGGCAAAATCCCCAGGGCTGGGACCTGGGGCTCCTAACCCTAGTCTGTTGATCCCAAACTCATTTATTCTAGAAGCAAGGCCTTGGGGCCCCCATGCAGAATAAGTGGGCAGGCTGAGGCAGCTTGCCCTGGATTCAGTTCCTGCCCTGTCACCTGCCTGATCTTTAGAAAATCTCCTCTCCATACATGCATGCTTGCCTACAGTCCCTCTCTCCAGCCCGGACCATAGGGTCCCTGCTGAAGGGAAATGACTATTTGGTGGCAGACCTGCCAGACACTTAAAGCAAACTCTGCCATGAGTAAGACTCCCATTCCAAGGCAATGCTCTGGTTTCGTCTAAAGAGAGCATGGGGGCAGGCACTGCTACTAGGTGGATTTTTTCCAAGTCAGGAAAAATGTGCATAAAGAAAATCCAGCATCTTTTAAGTAGGCAGGGCTGCAGGAGCAAAGCCAATACTTGGTGCCCTATGTGAATGCCTGGGAAACACCAGTTTACTAAGCAGTGACCCTTGTAGGAAAGACTGGGTGCTTTTTGCATTTGGCAGTGGAGATGATGTATAGATGACAGCTCTGTGGATAAGCCCCTTTTTTATCCCTTTCATGAGCTTTCATCTAGAGCTACCTCTTTATTTTAGACGTGCACCTACAGAAGTTCTTTTTCCCAACAATTCTAACTGTATCTGATCAAACTTATCTCCACATGGGGAAGTACAACACTGAGTTGCTCCAGATGTTTTTATTTTTCCTCCAGGTATTATAGACATTTACAAGGATGGATGAGTCCCAAGGGGCCAGGGTGTCATTCTCCTGTGACTCGAATATTGGGATGGGCCAAATGTGTCCTGAGTCCCAGGGGCGAGGGGGTTAACTGGAAGTGGAAACCTACCCATATCCCCTGCTCAGACAGCACCTTTGAGGCCAGATGAACCTACCAGCATAGGGGCAGGATCAGCTCTCCTAATTAGGATATTGAAAAAGCATTTTATGGAAACCCCACCTCATAACACGGTAATCCAGTGCTTTTTTGTTGTTTTAAAGACTGTCTTCCCCTTCTACCCTCCCACTCCATCCCCTGGGGTTCTTAGGATTGGGGTGGAATCTTCCCAGAATTTAATCTTTCCCTTGGATTCCAAGCTGTGTCCTCTTGAGCAGAGGTCTTGGCCTTCTGCTGCTATTTCTTTAAATTGATCTCCAGCAGAATTCCAAATGTAAAGGTCAGCAGGCAAGGAAATGGCACTTCTAATAGAAAACAATGTGCACTTTCTAAATTTGAACCAAGCCGTTTCCGCTCTTTGATTTAAGTGACTTCCTGGGGTTCCGTGTCAGGCACTGCAGTTGAATCTCTGGCCAGATTCCAACTTAAAATTGCACTCTCTCGGTGAAATTAGAAACTGATCCAGGGTTGGCTTAGCTATTCTAGTAAATAGCATTTAGGCTCAACGTTCAGCTCAGCACTTGGAAATGGGTGATGTGAGTGCCCCTTGAGAGGATTTCCCATCCAAGTTGTCAGAAGCTCACATACCCAGGGGTTATTGGCCACTGGAGCTTGCTGCTCTCAGAAGTGGTAGGTAATAAGTTAATATCCTGGATGTGCGGCCATCAGATACAGCCCTTCCTTCTCCCGTGAATATCTGAAATAAAGGCTTTTGTGTATCCAGCTGATAAACTCCATGGGAGCATGCAGGGACTGTCTGTTTTCACCTGATTGTCCTCAGCACCTAGCACAATGCTTGGCACAGAGAGCTTATAGGTGCTCAGGAAACCTAAACTCTTACTCTCTGGGGCAGTGATAAATTATTGAGCGCCTGTTGTATGTCAGGCAATATGCCAGGCACCGGATATACATTGTCTCATTTAATCCTCATAAGAAACCCATTTTGCAATGACAAAACTAAGGCCTAAGGCATAGAGAGATTAAAGAACTTGTTCGTAGCAATACTGTTAGTCTAAGCTGAGAATGCAAACTTGGGCCTGATTCCAGATTCCGTGTTTATAACCACTGGGCTATATATCTTTTTTTTTTTTTGAGTCTCCCTTTGTTGCCCAGGCTAGAGTGAGTGCCGTGGCGTCAGCCTAGCTCACAGCAACCTCAAACTCCTGGGCTCAAGCGATCCTACTGCCTCAGCCTCCCAAGTAGCTGGAACTACAGGCATTTGCCACCATGCCCAGCTAATTTTTTTTTCTATATATATTAGTTGGCCAATTAATTTCTTTCTATTTTTATAGTAAAGACAGGATCTTGCTCTTGCTCAGGCTGGTTCGAACTCCTGACCTTGAGCGATCCACCTGCCTCAGCCTCCCAGAGTGCTAGGATTACAGGCGTGAGCCACCGTGCCCAGTCTAGGCTATATATCTTAAATAAGTAGCACGTTTCACTGATTTACAAGAATAAGCTGGGAATGCTCAGGTTTGAGTCCTAGTCCTGCTACTGATTGTTTTGTGTGACTCTGGACAAGTTACTTTGAAACATTAGTTTTCTATAAACTAGAAAAAGGGGATAATAGTAAGTCCTTTTTAGGATCATTGTGAAGTCTATGGCTTCATGTATGTGGTGCTTGGGAGAGTGTCTCCACATCTTAAGTGCTCAGTAAATGTTATTTCTGCCACCGACTGCTATCGTTACTTATCACTAAGCCTTGGGAGTTGCTGGGCACTTAGTTCTCCTTTCAGTTGGGCTCCCAAGGACTTGATGGGGTGGGTGTTGACAGGCCACATACTGATACCTGGAATCCATTCTCTCTTCCTTTTCCCCACCCACCCCCAGGGCCCCTAGAAGCCTGTTTCTCCGTGCAGCCCAGGACCTCCAGCTCCATGGAGCCCCCGATCCCACAGAGCACCCCCTTGACTCCTAGCTCAGTCATGGTCCAGCCCATTCTTGATAGCCGGATGCCCCACAGCCGGCTCCAACACCCACTCACCATCCTGCCCATTGACCAGATGAAGACGAGCCATGTGGAGAACGACTATATAGACAACCCCAGCCTGGCCCCCACTGCTGGCCCGAAGCGGACCCGGGCTGGGGCTCCAGAGCTGGCCCCCACACCCGCCCGCTGTGACCAAGATGTTACTCACCACTGGATCTCCTTCAGTGGACGCCCCAGCTCCGTGAGCAGCAGCAGCAGCACATCCTCTGACCAGCGGCTCCTAGACCACATGGCGCCACCGCCTGTTGCCGACCAGGCCTCGCCGAGGGCTGTGCGCATCCAGCCCAAGGTGGTCCACTGCAAGCCTCTGGACCTCAAGGGCCCGGCGGTCCCACCCGAGCTGGACAAGCACTTCTTGCTGTGCGAGGCCTGTGGGAAGTGTAAATGCAAGGAGTGTGCGTCCCCCCGGACGTTGCCCTCCTGCTGGGTCTGCAACCAGGAATGCCTGTGTTCGGCCCAGACCCTGGTCAACTACGGCACGTGCATGTGCCTGGTGCAGGGCGTCTTCTACCACTGCACCAACGAGGACGATGAGGGCTCCTGCGCCGACCACCCCTGCTCCTGCTCCCACTCAAACTGCTGCGCCCGCTGGTCCTTCATGGGTGCCCTCTCGCTGGTGCTGCCCTGCCTGCTCTGCTACCTGCCCGCCACCGGCTGCGTGAAGCTGGCCCAGCGCGGCTACGACCGCCTGCGCCGCCCTGGTTGTCGCTGCAAGCACACGAACAGCGTCATCTGCAAGGCAGCCGGCGGGGATGCCAAGGCCAGCAGACCCGACAAGCCTTTCTGACGCTTTGGGTCCAAGCTCCGGCGCTGCTCCTGGAAACGGGGTTTCCTTCTGACACCTGAGAAGACTGCAGCCGGACCAGAGGTTGTGTCCTCCTGCCGCTGCCTTGCTGGTCTGCCCCCTCCCCACCCCCAGCTTCGGAGGATAGAGACCACCGCCACGTGCTCTTCTCCCCAAGAGGATGAAGCAGCACTTTGGGGTTTTTTCAGGGTCTTGGAACTTTGTGTCAAACAGACCATGGCAGGGGCGGGGTGTGGTTTGTGGTGGGGGAGGATTTTTTTTTTTTTTTTCAGAAGACGGAACACAGATGTGGACATATCTCCGGAAGTTGCAGCTGCTTGAATGGCTTCCCGGCCCCTCCTCCCCCTTCCTTTCTCTCTCCCTCTTTCCATTGTCTGTGGCTCTCGGAGGAGCCGGCTGCCCGGGAAGAATTGCTAACTGAGGCCAGGGTACCTTTGAAGAAGACGATCTTGTTGGAGTCTTGACTTCTATACCTTCTCTTTCCCTCCTCACTCCGCCCCAGCTCGCCCCGGCCTTTCGGGGAAGGGGCAGAACACCCCAGCAGTCCTTGCTGTACATACCTGGGAGCCCACTGGGGACAGAGGACAGCCCGTGAGTCCCAGCCATGTTTCACCTCTCCTGCCCCTCCGCAGCCCACAGGACGGAAGTAGGAGCCACTGCGCAAGCGCATCTCTCCCTTCCAGCTCCGTCACCAACTCTCGCGGGATGTTCCGTTCGTCACACCGTCCTTCGGTTCTCACCGAGTCACCTGCTCGCCTGCCCGCTACGTGTCCGAGTTCTCTCTACTCAGATCCTTTCCAGAAACTCCGTGGGTAGAGAAGGCCAGGGCGACAAACGCGAGACCAAATATTATTTTGCCAATGAGTCTGAGGCTGTGGTCTCTGGATCCAGTCGTTATGTTTTTATAGAATAATTAAACCAGATGCTAACGGTGTTTTAAAAAATAATAATAATAATACAACAACTTGCTTCCTTTTGGGCCACCCCCAGGAAGGGCTGATTTCAAAATCTGGGGGGACGAGCAACCTCAAGGAACATAGTTCCCTTCCCCACCAAGAAGAGGATTTTAACAGCAAGGAAGAGAGGCGGCACCTCCCATTGGCAGAATGAATGGCAGTCGAGCCGAGCCGGCTTTGGGTTTCTTCTCTTCCGATTCTGCTGCTGCTGTCATAGCCTTTTGTGTATAGTGATGTGTCTGTATCTTTAATGTACATAGAGAGATGAAGAAAAAAAGAGTCTATTTTAGTTTTAGGAAGCCCCAGTGTTGGGGGGAATGTCAGAAGAGCTCAAGACAGGGTGGGGTAAAGATTCTCCAGGGGACACTGGGGACAGAGCCCTGCTTTTAGTGCTTAGCCACACCACCCTCTCCCGACAGCCCCCAAAGACGTAGCAACTCTTTCTCTCAAGGTGCTAAAGGACTCAGAAAGTGCAGCACGTCCAGTGGGTAGGTACTTGTTGCATGCAAACGCTGTAGTGTGTCTGGTCCTTCCTCCCCAGCTGTGGTGTGGGGTTTTCGCTTTGTGTGGTAGTTTGCTTTCCCCTCTCTCGAGAGGACATGGCCTGGGGCGCAAGAGCTTCCCCAGGCGAGACTGGAAGTGCATGAGGCGCTTCTGGTTTGTTCTGTAGGCACAGAACCTCCTCCAGGGAGGAGGCGAGGAGGCAGGTAGCTGTGATCGGCATGCACCCAATGCTTCTCCGGAACCTTTTTTTTTTTTTTCCTTCTTGAAGACTAGTAGTGTAACACCTTATGATTTAGAATAAGTTAATTGTAACCATAGGTATTTATTGATTGGAGGAAGGGAGGGTCATATTATTTCCGGCTTTATTTATGTAACATTTGCTAGCTTGTAAAAGGCGAATGTGAAATATCGCATCTGCATTTTCTAAGGCTGATTCATATAGCTCCCCTTGCCACGTTTGTGATGGATGTATGGATGTTCTTGAATATTTCGGAAGGAATAGTAGAAGAAAAAAAAAACATATTCAGCCAACCACTTATACTAATTGAATGTATCAGAAGTGTACTGAAGGACTGGCGTGATGTTTCCTCAGATGAGGTGGCCCCAAGACGGCAGCGCACATGTGCACTCTTTCCTCCAGGCCGGGACTCTTCCCAGGGCCCCTCCCTCGAATCGTCTCCGTGGGAAACGACCCAGTGGCAAGTTGCACTTTGGTGATCTTGGTGGTCTACACACCCATTCTGTGGAGAATTGATTTATATAAGCTGTGTATGCACATACACAACACACACATGACCCTCTACCGACAAAGACCCTGTTTCCCTCCAGACAGCCTCCTGAACCCTGACATTTTGTGTACATAGTTGTAAACACGGATTTTTCCCTGGGTTTTGGTTTGCTTTTTTTCTTTCTTGCCCTCTCCCCTCTCATTTAGGCTTGTTCTCTTTGGTTTGCTTTCCTGCTGCTGCGGAGATGCTGCAGCTCTCTCCCTCACACACCCCCTCGTGCCTCATGTGCTCGGTGGTGAAGGGAAGGAGTGAGGGGACCCTCTCTGGTTCCCCCAGCTTCTTGGCAAAAAAGAAAGAAAGAAAGAAAAAAGCTGGCTTATTCATGGACCCTCCCAGCCCCTGGGGCCAGTCGAGGGAGCAAGCACTCAGAGACCTACCCCATTTCTCTAGCTGCTTCTGGCTATTTTCCTCCGTACCAGTGGCTCCCTTGGCTGGATTATGCCTGGTCTTGACCTTTTGTGAAAAGCACCAAGCTGGTCCCCACTACTGCTCCCCCTGGGATGGGGGGGGCGGGTTCTGCCTTCACTGGGAGTGAGGAACCAAGCCTAGATCCAGACCCCTCCTCCTAGGGGGCCCCGACTGGCCCCCCCGCACCTGAGGACGGGCATGTGGAGGCTGCAGTCCAGCAGGCACCCAGGCATCTGGGTCAGGATAGAAAAGCTCTCTCAGATGAATGGCTGGGCACAGTCAAGGCTTCTCAGAGTGCTGAGTAGGCAGGGCATGAAGACCAAGTCCTTTCCATCACTGTGGCCCCTTCACAGCTGACGGAGGCCGAAGACCTCATAGGGCATCACTCGTTCTTTCAGCCTTATGAAGTCTGCATCCAAGCCATTGTACCTTGAGTGTGGTGAGGCCCAGCTAGATAATGGCTTGTCCAAGATTGTACATGTGAAAAGTGTTGGTCTGGCCCGGGACCCAGATGACTGTCACTTTGAAGTGTTCTGTGCTGCCCCAGGAAGTGTGTGATCCGGTGTGTAAGCAGCACAACGTCACACTGTACCACTCACTAGGGCAGGGTGTCCTGCGAGCTCCACACCCTTCGGGTTCATGCCTCTGATAAGCACCTTCACACCCTCCCTGCTGACTGTGACAGCCATGACGGAGCTTCAGTTGCCATTTTTTGCTGTGGGTAACTGCGTGATGTGCTGTGTCTTATCTTGCTTTCTCTGCTCACTGCCCCTCGGTTCGGTTTCATGTTACAAACAGAAAAACTGCTCCAGGCTCCCCCCCATTCCTACTTCATCTCCCCCCTCCACCCCCGTCACTGTAGCCCCCTCATCCCACCACAAAAGTTACCACATAAGGTTTTCTTTGTATAGAATATTTATTTTGAAGCTCTATTTTAATAGTATTTATTTTAGAAAGTCTACTATTGTAAGAGTTCTTCTGTTTGTGAAGAAAAAAACAAGTTAAAAACTGAATGTACTGATCTAGAAAATATATATAAATATATATTGTTAAATATATGCAGGACTGCTGTTTCTGGTGTTCGTGTGTTCCCTTCCCTGACATCCTCACCCAGCAAGGCCCCAAGTTTGTCAAAGAGCAGTCGGCCACTGCACGGAATGGAAATACACAGCAAAGGCTTGTCTGCCCCTAGGTAACCTTAGAACCATCAGGGGGGAAAGCCTCCCTTCATTATGATGCTGAATGCTGCTCCATGCTGCTAAATCCTGCCCAGGCAAGCTGTCCCCCAAACGGGGGAGACTTAGAGGTGGAAAGGGGGTAATCTGACCTGTCCATTCTCCAAAAATTCTACAGCCCCTTTCCCTTGATTCCCTTTATTTGGTTGCCCCAGAGCAGGATTTCAACATACATATGCACACACATACATGATTCAAAAAGCCCCCAGCAGTTTCCTTGTTTTCGCTGGGTTGGTGAATATCGCATAAAAGCAGTTCCTTTGACCTCACAAACCTTCCATCCATTTAGGACCTAAAGCACCTCCCCTCCAGTTCTCTGGTCACCCCCAGCCCACTAACAACAGCACTTGAGCTTACAGACATAGCCACTTCTCCATTAACGTAGCTGTGGGAACCTTTTCACTACCTTGATTCATAGGCTGTTTGCAATGAAAGTTGCATTCGTGAGAACATACCTCTTGTTTTCTAGAAAAGACATTTATAATTAAGTTTTTTCCTATTGCCAATAAGTGAAGGGAGACACCAACAATGACAAGGGGTGGGTGGGGGAAGAGAGGGGCTTGGTGGAGGGAGAGATCAGGAACCATGGGTCCAGTTCTTTGTTTTTCTAGGGGGTCACCAATTACGGCCTGCAGGATATTTGTGAAATCCAAACCTCGAGTTTTTGCAGACATCCAAGCACATGCCAAGGATCCCTGGTCACTGCCCAAGAAGACACAGGATGTTCTTCAATGTGGCCTTGTTTGCTCTAAAACTTTTACAGTTAGATAGGCTCCCTTTCTGTCCTCTGTCGCCAGACCATATGGCCTGTCCCTTTCCTGTAGGATGGACAAAGATTAGCTCTAAGTCTTCCTTCACGGACAGGGTAAGTAAGACATGGTAAGTAACTGGGACTTAGGGATAATTGTCTTTTTAATCAGCTCAGTCCCAATTAGTGTGGACCACACTTTGACTCAGTCTTGGGTTTCCTTATGGGTGGGAACATGGCAGGCCTGCCCCCTGGTTTTACTTTCATAGTTCCTGCCTAGTGATTGCAGATGAAAAACAACCACCACCACCTATACAAGGGTTCGAATGCTTAACAGCTCACTCACCCAGATGCTCCTGGTGAAACTGGAGCTAACCACTGTCTAGAGAAAAATTTCCACGTGTGCCTCTTGTCTTTATCCATCTGGCCCTGTTCCTTTGGTTCCCAGTTGTAAAATGGCTTAGGGGTCATAATCATCGTTAGCATTTGTCAAACAGCTTCTTTTTGCCAAGTACTGGGCATGCAAGGCAGATGCCATTGTCATTTCCTTCTTAGAGATGCAGAAACTGATGTTCAGAGAAGTTCTCCCATGCCCAATACATGATTGAAGGGTAGAAGGTAAAAACATAAACTGAATGATTTAGCAACTCAATTTGGGGGAGAATGAAGCGGCCCAGGATGGAGTAGATAAACGTCTCCCTGGGGATGGAATTGAAAGTTAAGGGGGAAGAAGCAGAATCTAGCCTTGTCCACTCATAAACAAGCATCCCCTACGAAGGCACCAAGCCTTGGTGCTCAGTGCGGGAAGAAGAGTCAGGAGAACCCCCCAGGCTGCCTCATCTTCTGGCCAGGAGGCCCCAACCCCCTCCTGCCGCTTTCCGGCTTGCGGAACCTGCAGCTTCAAGTGAGCTCAACTTTCCAAAGTCCGTGAGTGAACTAATCAAATGAACCCAGACAGCGGGCTCCATGCTAGAGGTGTGTGTCAGATGAAAGCCAAGAGAACATTTTTAAGAGCCTTAAGTTTATTCATCAGAACTTTAATAAAACAATATGTCCATGGCCTGGGGCAGGTATAATTTTCATAATTTATGGGTCTCTGAGACAGGAAGAGAGCTCGGGGTTTTATTGTGCTTTGCACGATAAATGGCATTCCGATTGTCTACATGATGTTCTTTACGGACTCTCGTCTGGCAGGAACACAGGCCTTCTGGAGCCCACCTGGGCCTCGAGGCCGGAGGCAAGGGATAATTATGAATACATCTGTATGTGTTAAGCAGGAGATGATTGAAAAACTCCCTCGGTTCCTTCTGTCATTAGAAGACACTTCCTATGCCAACACCTATATTAACATTTAACTGTTGCAAGGTTTGGAACCCTCCCTGTTCTCTTCCTCTCTCACCACCTCCTCCCCTGGGCCTGGCTCCTCCTGTACCTGAGGAGACTCAAGTAAACTTCTGACTGACTGGCTTCCCTCCCATTGGGCACAGAGGTGGGGGGGTAGCTTAGGACTCTGAACAAAAAACCCACCATCCACAGGGCAAGATAATGGAGCTCCAGGTGATGTTCTAATTGGAACCAGTAGTTGGAAAACTGCAGACTTGTGGCTTCTATTAAGCCCTCAGGGTACCAGAGGCCAAGTGGCCTTATGAAATAATATAATTACAATAATTATCACTTCTGAGCACAGATGCTGCATTATTTACAATCTTGAAAACAGTCAAATTAGGTTGATATAATTGGCCTCATTTTACAAATGAGAAAACCAAGGCTCAGAGAGATAAAGTCATTTGCCCAAGGCCACACAGCCATAGACCCAGGATTTTAACCCAGAGGATCTGCCTCCAAAGCCAGTGCACACGCTAAGGCCCTATTCCAACTTTCAGACCCAAAGCAATTACCTTCCCTGGGATGTCTTCCGATGTCTCCTGAGAGAGGTTTCCTTCCCACTTGTGCTTCTGTAGAAGTTGGTAGAGTAGGTCGTTTGTTCTAACCAATATTACGTAGAGTATAATCGAGATAGACCTTGAACCCAGGTCTCACCACTGAACTACAACACCCCATTCTCAGACTGATCTCAGGAAAGATCCTCTATTTCACCACAACATTGCTACTGAGCCTCTTAACATTGCTCTTGGCCAGCCTTCCTCATTTCCTCTCCAATGGGAAGAAGGATTTGGGTTGTGATGGCCAGGGATGCTTGGGGAAGGGGCAAGAATCTTACAGGAGAGAGAGGGAGCTGTAAATTGCTTCAGATAATTTAAAAAGTCGGGGCCTGGTGGCTTCGTGGGTGGACAGGGAGAGCTGTGCTCACAGAGGGTGAAGGGTACAAGCCGCTCCCGCTCTTCCAGGGGCCAAGGCCAGCCTTGGAGTAGAGGAACAGGGCAGGGGCCAGGGAGGCAAAGCAGCCAGGCTGGAGTAAAGGTAGCAGGGGTAGGGACTGGGGACTCCTACATTATAAACAGTGCCAGGCTACTCTGTGACCACCTCCCAGACAATGCACCAACCAGATTAGAGAGCCATCGTCCATCCAGGCAGGACCAGTTCCCAGAGCCAGCATGGCCAGGGCCTTGGGGCTCTCTGAGAAATGACTGCCACTTCCACAGGCTCCTCCAATTAGGACAATGGGGTGCAGAGGAGCACAGAGCCTGGTCTATTGCTCAGGTCCTGCTCTGCCACCTGCTCTAGCTGTGATCTTGGAAGAGAGACTGCTGTTGTAACAGTTGGAAGATTAAATGGTGACTACACAGCACTCAGCCCACCATTGAGAACTGCCGTTAATATCTGAAAGATGAGAGAGCAAAGAATAGAAGGATTCATCTCGCCTCTTCTCTTAGCCTCAGTTTCTCCATCTTCAGCCTGACGGTCTGGACCACGTAGGCAGAAGTCACAAACTGTCGGCCCACAGTGTTTTCAAAAGCTGTTGGGTGTCATCATTTGAAAATTGAGAGGTTTCCAAACCCAGATCTAAAACTTCTCTTGAAAATTAAAAGGAGTTGAGGGAGGGTGGCATGGGCAATATACATAAGCTTAACATTTATATCCCCATAATATGCTGAAATAAAAAAAAAAAAAGAAAAAGAAAAGGAGCTGTCCCCACTGGGCCCCCCATTCCCTATGACAGCAGTTGGCTGGAGCTGAAAGGCAGTTGCCCTTTCCAAACCTGGGTGTGGCCCCTCAATTTCGTTCAATCCGTGCTCCCTGCCACTGGCCCCCGGGCTAAGTGCCAATTGCCATCAATCATTGTGTCTTTTTTTTTTTTTGAGACAGTCTCAGTCTCACTCTGTTCCCCGGGCCAGAGTGCCATGGCATCAGCCTAGCTCACAGCAGCCTCAAACTCCTGGGCTCAAGCAATCCTGCTGCCTCAGCCTCCCGAGTAGCTGGGACTACAGGCATGCGCCACCATGCCCGAATAATTTTTTCTATATATATTTGTTGGCCAGTTAATTTCTTTCTATTCTTAGTAGAGACGGGTCTCGCTCTTGCTCAGGCTGGTTTCAAACTCGTGACCTCAAGCAATCTCCTTCCGCCTCCACCTCCCAGAGTGCTAGGATTACAGGCATGAGCCACCGTGCCCCGCCTAAATGTATTAATTAATTAATGATAAACTGAGAGAAGAGGCAATGAGGGTTCGACACATAGCCTTAGACTTTGTTTCTGTCCCCAAACTAGCCATGTAGTAGGACATAGCATTTCTACCACTTCATCGTAGTGATGTGAATATAGTACTAGCTTCCATCTTGTAAAAATTCTATTTTTTTTTTTTTTTGAGACAGAGTCTCACTTTGTTGCCCAGGCTAGAGTGAGTGCTGTGGCATCAGCCTAGCTCACAGCAACCTCAAACTCTTGGGCTCAAGCAATCCTGCTGCCTCAGCCTCCCGAGTAGCTGGGACTACAGGCATGTGCCACTATGCCCAGCTAATTTTTTCTATATATATATTAGTTGGCCAATTAATTTCTTTCTATTAATAGTAGAGACAGGGTCTCACTCTTGCTAAGGCTAGTTTCGAACTCCTGACCTCGAGCAATCCTCCCGTCTTGGCCTCCCAGAATGCTAGGATTACAGGCGTGAGCCACG